AAGATATTCTAATTCGTGTCGAAAATTATTTAATGATAAAACATATAGTATCTGTTTGTTATCTGTTTAATACTGATAGTGATATAACGAAAAGAATCAATTAGTAGAAGAGTAAGAGATCACAGAAATCTACCAGATATTTGTTTTCCATCTCGTTCAAAATGAACTAAGTTGGTCGAGAGATGGTTTGATAAAAGAAAGACACGATTTTGAAAAATAATGTTAGAAGAATTAGTTGTCTGTAATCAAAGAAATACAAATTATTCAGTAAATTTTTAATAACAATAATAATAAAAAAAAATAAGCTGTAAATTGTTTAGGTACGTTTTACAGAACCTTCTAGTTGAGACTCCCGACAAAACTCCCACGGTGGGACGTCTAAGGACTCCCACAGGATTTTAAGGACTCTCAATGGACTCCCGCAGGACTCGAAAGTCCTCAAAGTCCCATAAGAGTCCTGAGCGAGTCCTCAGGAATCCTTAGGAGTTCCTTGAAAGTCCCACCTGACTCCCGAAGGACCCCGTGACAGGAGTCCCGTGGGAGTTTTGTCGGGAGTCTCGACTAGGGCCATTCTGTGTATGTAAGTGTTAAAAAGTGCTATTAATTAACGATTATATTATTATTTCTACTTGATATTAATATTATTCTATCGTACTACAGCGCATTCTTGTTGGCTTCATAGAGACACATCCCTCATCATCATGGCGTGATACTACTCATAATTCAGACATACATTCAGTGCAGAATCCATTTCAGGGACTCTCAGAACAGATTCTGAAAATAATTCCTATGGGAAAAATTAACAGAAAAGTAGAACTGAAAGGGTTCAGAAAGAAACAAAGAAGAATTTTGCTAGACAACGACTTGTCTCGAAAGCTAGAAGTCGCCAAAGTGCGCTCATTTTACCGATTTAAATCAGGGCTCCGAATGGGCTGGGTTAAAACCAGCCCGGCTCAGCCCGGCTCAGCCCAGCCATGGCCTACCATGGGCTGGGCTTTTTTGTACAATCAGAACCATGGGTCGGGCCGGGTCACTACCTATTGGAATGGGCGCCGATGGGACGAAGTTCTCTGATTGATGTATAGAACAACCGACATTTTTCTACTAGAGGCCGCATGAGAACGGTGTGACAAAGTTACTCTTTTAAAGTGTCTTATTCTGCTCGTCATTGGTCCTTATCGAATAGGAGAGTAAATGATAAGTAGCCTTGATCAACATGGTAAATGAGGCTGTATTCGGGAAAAACCTTTTATTAGATGGGCCAGCCAGTCCGGCCCATGGATCAGGATGGGCTGGAAAATTTATGAACTGGAAGCCACAGGCTAGGACGATAAAGGGCGAGATAGCCCATGGGCCAACTTTTCCCAGTCTAGCCCGGTTCATTCGAAGCCCTAATTTAAATAGTAGAAATAAATTAATTTGATAATAGCAGAACCTTGAAAGGATACAAATTAAAATATTGAAAACAAAACACTAAAACATGTGTGTAGCTATAAGAAGTCAAGATTTGTAGAAAAACGAGTGAATTTCCAACTTTGATCATTAATAATGACTAGAAAAGATAATCATCCAAAAAATAATATTTAAACATCGATTAATTGTCTAAAAATTTTAAAAATATATCAAGTTTTCTTTAATTTATAAAACAAATTTGCAAATACTTTCATGAAAATATCCCAAGTAAATCATCATTTTATTTTTTCATCCTATTCTTTAAATAGTATAGAATCTTGTTTACGTCAACCTATTTCTGAGTAAAAGAATAGAAAGGTGTATTAGTAGTAAAAAGAAAGTAAAAAAAGACATTATTCTGCTGAAATGTCTAGGTATCTGATCAGATAAAACCAACTATTTAATGGCTATTATTCTGTGTGTGTGTAATTTGTAGAGTAATATCTATTTTTTTATGACATTTGTCTGCTACTTTATACTTTAATTTAAAAGCATCTAAACTTACATGAAAAACAAAAAACACAATTCAGAATTATGTGGTCTATAGCACGTGTATTTTTTTTTTGAGCTATAATGTAAAAGAAACAGAACAAATATTTCCATTATTTATTTTCACTATTTTCTAAGTGGACAATTTTTTACCATTTTTACAGCATTTTACAGCTCAAGTATTACTTGAGAATTATACAGAACAAAAAAAGTAAAATAAAATAAGTATTAATGTTCTCATTTTTAGATTCGTTTTATATTTTATCCACTTCTTTTCTTTTTTCTTTTCTTCTTCTCTTTCTCAGCATGTCATCTTTATTCAATCGATTAAAAAATCGAAAGGTATAAATTGAAATTGTTGTTTTTAAAAAAGAAGAATAAAACAAAATATTTTCTTACATGTGATTTTTCTTCTTTATAGACTCAAAATAATACCAGTGATGATTCATTATCAATAAGTTCTTTTGATGAGGAAGTGAGCGATGAAGAAGAAGAAAAAGAAAAACTTTGACTTTTTTAATATTTTATGGTTATTCTAGGGTTTTCTGTGTCCCATATGTCATCGTAAATTTAATGATCAAATTGAATTAGGTGAACATTATACTGCCATGCATACGTCACCGACAAAAAATAATAAAGAAGATGATCAACAGCAACAGCGACAGCAGCAACAACAATCTACAGCAAATAATCATCTCACTGGAGAAGTCAATGAGCGAACATCAGCTCAAGTGAGTAATTTCATTTTTTTTTTTGTTGAAATCACTATTGAATAAAAAATTTGCATAATACGATCATTTTTCAATTAAAAAATGATCGAATTATTATTTTTTTGAAGGATAGAGAAATGTTCAAATTGTAGCATGTCAATTAAGAAAACCGATAAAAGAATTCTTTTCTTTATGAACAAAGATTAGTAATACAACAGTAGTATATTTGAAATTTATTATTTTAATTTTTAATTTTATTTATCGACATTTCGAGAATACAATTGTTCTTATTATCAAGAAAAGACGCGTAACAACAAGAGAGATGTTTATCGTAAAATAAAATTAAAAATTAAAATAATGAATTTGAAACACACACTAATGTTGTATTATACTCCTCTTCGTTCACTAAATTATAAGAAGTTCAATGTTTCTTGTCTGATTTATGAAAGAAACATTTTTTTTTTTATACTGTTCAATATTATCACCATTGACTTCAATACACAACTAGGGCTGTCCGTTTACTTTACCAAGTAAAGTAACAAGAATTTGTTACTTGTTATTAGTAGTTAGTAACAACAGATACTAGTTTGTTACTTTGTTAGTTTTGGTAAAGTAACAAAAAACAAGTTTTTGTTTTTTGTTTGCTCATAAAAACGTTTTTGAAAAAGGTTTTGTGAGAGTGAGGGTGAAATAATTGAATTTCATTAGATGTCTTATAAGTTATGACTCTTCCCTTAGTAGCGATATATAGCTAACAAATATTTCAGGTACTTCTTTATTAGACGTTCCGCCACCTTTTAGCAAGTATTTCACCCTCATCTTCACCCTCACAAAACCTTACTTAAGGAGTCAACTGGCAGAAATATCTGCTAAAAGATTGTTCCTTGTTACTTTATCAAAAGTAATAACTGCGTTACTTGTTACAAATAACAAAGTAATCAACTAGCATCTGTTATTACTAATTACTAGTAATAAGTAACAAAAATTGTTACTTGTTACTAGTAAATTAATGGTAAACAGACAGCCGTATACACAACTATAATTTTGTTATTGTTTCTGAGAAAACATTAGTTTAATGTTTCCTTTTTTTTTTGATTATTTCAATTTCTTTCGTTATACGGTAATCGTTGAGATCTGTTACTTTTGTTTTATAATTAAATCTGGAGACATTTGAACCCATGAAATCGATCTATCCCTACTAACCCCATGATTACCAAAGCTTTCATTTAATCATTCTCGAACTCATTTTGAAAAGTGTAGAGACACTTCGTCTTATTAGAAAATCATCTTTTTATACAATTTTTTCTTCTGTATAGTCGAATAAAAGAACCGAAAAATGGATGCAAATTTTTTATTCTATAATGACTGTGGAGACATTCTGTAGTAAACAACCAATAGTTTTGAAAAACGTGTAAAACTGTCTTTACTATTATTATTTTTTTTGTTTTTATTTTAGGATCTTACTAAAGAACTAAATTTTTGGAAAACACAATTTACTACGTCCGAAGAAAGTCGAATGTCGTGTAAGTTTGATAATTATATTTTCTTTGATATCGACGATTCCATTTTTTGATTTTTATAGTGAGTAATGAATTAATTCAAGTTCGTCAACACGTTGGCGATTTAGAAGCAGAAATTGAACAGTTAAAACAACAACTTCAACAATCACAGAAACGTCTTAGTGGACAGGTATAATTTTTGTTGTTGTTGTTATTTTTAATTATACCTTTTCTAACTTGTTTATTTATTTCTTTAATAGTCGCAAGAAATTGCCAGTTTAAAATCTGAAAAGGATGTTTATCAATCACAAATTGTTGTGTTTTCTGATGAATTACTCATAGCACAAGTTAGCTTACGACAGAAACATACAAGCTACTCTGTTAATGTAATTTTTGTTTATATTCTAGGAAGAACTTAAAATCAAACAAAATCAACTATCACAATTATGCGATGATCTAATACCGAGGTAAACTGACTTTTTTTGTTTCGCTTTCTGAAAAGCTTAAATTTATTGATAATTTTTTTTTGTCACCTTTTTCTCTTCCCTGTCTAGCCTGTAAGTATCAGTACGCTTTTCACAATATTTAATTGCATGAGCACAGGTCAATTCTGCTTATGGTCTAAAAAACGAAAAACTAAATTTTATGAAAAATAGATCAAATTCGTTAAGGCAGAAAACTATGGGTTCACGGTCATTTTTTGGTGTCATATAAACAGCTTTAATTCGAGTCGAGTAATGCTTAGTAGAAAAATTTGCAAGATGTTCTTAACTGTTTCATATTCCATTCTGTCAAAATCTCTTAAACAAAGTCTAATTTTGTTTTGCATGTTTACCTGTGCTGTTGCTCGAATATCTATGAATGTCTTGTGTTGTAAATAGTATTTTTAACTATGTAGCACTCGTCATGTTTGCTTTACGTATACTAGTTTTGTCTTATAAATCCTACTTACATAAGACAGCATGTCTTAGTGGTTATTGGTTAGTGGTTAGTGTGTATGAGGAGGAACTCTGCATCAGGCTAACCTTCGACTTCTGTCCAGAACTGTGTTTGACGACTAGTAACGACATGGGTGGCCATATCAGAAGCTTATCAATTGCAGGAAAGATATCGGACTATTGAAACGGCCATTTGACAGCATCCTATATCGGAACCGGCAGCCGCAAGATGGGGTATTCTTCCTTCTTCTTTGCTTCCACTTACACAGACTACTGTTAAAAAGGAAATAGATAGATTTTTTAACTTGAGTTTTGTAGTCTATATTGTGCCATTGATTGTTAAAATAGATAAGTCTTGTTTGACAATTCTATTTTAACTTTATATACTAGAAATATACGGAATCCTGTTGATATCAATGAGCGAAGATTTTTTTTTATAGAATTGTTTCAATATTTTCTGATAATAAGGTTTATAAGTCATGTGGATACGTGACATAACATGGGAAAATGGTTCTTATGTGTACTAAATGCATGTCCTGTTCGTGGAATACTTTCGCTATTCAAAAACATTGTTATTCACATTTTTAGACCATCAAGTGACGATGTTGATGTATTAAAACATGAATTAGTGTCCGTTCAACAACAAATGAATGATTTAGCTTTGGAAAAAGAAAATGAAATCTCTAAATTAATACAAGAATTATCAACTTATAAATCGACAATTTCAGACAGGTTTCAGTATTTTCAGATTTGTCTCTATGATTGCGTTGAATGATGATCGACATCTGACAAAATAATCTGTACGAGATCAACAACAAACATTTTTATTAAAAAACAATAACAAATCTAGTTCATAAGTTCAAGAACAGAAAAGAAAAATAGAAAACTGTAGAGGAGAAAAGACAAAGTGAGAATCAACACTCTTAGTACTACAAAAAGTAGATTACAACACTATCAGTAGATTTTTAGTGCAAGAAAATAAAGTCTTTTCTATTAGTTCTCACATCAAAATGGAGACTAGAAATACATGAGTTGGGCCAAAAGAATGTTTTCACATATCTTTAGACTTTATTTGAATATATTCTGATCGAATTACACAAAAATAAAACGACACGTTTTCATTTTTCTTCTGTAATTTAATACAAGTCCAGTCTCCGCTATTTTTGCACAAAATAACCTTTTCACCACATTACACGGCTTGTCCCAAGGTAATACTGTGACATTTTTGACACAGTAATTTGAGATTTTCTCGAAAACTATAAGAGATAGGAAGTTTGTTTTTGCGTTATTCGACGCGGCTCTTCTTGCTCTACTTTGAGTATAAAAACGACGATTTTTGATTAAAGGCTCGAGCTTCCATAAAACCTTTTTAAACCGGTAACGCTGTGACATAAAAAGGCCCTAAATTGTAACTACTCCTCATTAAAGTGCAAATTTCTGCGAATTTAGAAGAGCTAATAAAAAGTGTCTTGAGCAAAGTTTATAGAGGAGCTAACGAGCTTCCTTTTGGTAAAAGAAAACTTTTCTCCAAACCCTTCTGCACGTCTCGAAAAGTCGATTTTGTGAAGTAACGCTGTGACACACTTTTTTGTCACACCATTTTTAGGCACTAAATGTTGTTAAAAAAACTTCATACTTATAGTCTGTGTAGTTCTAACTTTCCTGAAAAGACTCCAGTTGAAAATAAAGTTCGAAAAATCCTCTGAGGCTTTCAGACTAAGGCGGAAGTTGACACGTTCAAGCAGCCACTGTGTCTCGACTGAAAAATAGAATCTCAAAACAAAACGAGCTGTTTTGTAGAGAATTGAATTCTCTATTCAACGGTATGTTTTTAAAATTTTTTCAACAAAATGTCCAAGTCAGAACACTCAAATTAAAATTTTTATATTGAAAATTAATTTTTTCTTCAAAAAAGAAAAAGTCAAATTCGTGATCAGCATGAAAAGCTGCGTGTAGTGATGTGCCCCTATAGATTTTCTGATGAAAAAAATTAAAAAAAAACTTGATCAGCGAAGTATCGCGTTACGTGGACAAGCCGTCGTACATAGTAACAGAAGAATAATCTCATCATATTCCATTGAGACGTTGCAAAAGCAAGTTGATTGCGGGACAAACAACGGTCAAATCCCATCCTTTTTTTTCTTATAGTAAAATATCTAAGAGCAGAAATCCTTAGGTTTATCATTCATCGTGTGCAAACGGTATCCTGTTTATGATAATCATTGATATTCTATGTAGCTGATAATGATTAGAGTATCGAATCAAAAACGTTTATATTTTTGTTATTATTTTCTAATATAAATATTTATTATTGATTTTATACAAATTATTCCGACATTTTTCAATTTTGTTTATCAAATAGATACACTTGAAATTGAGTTAAAAAATAAATTTTTGATATTTTTATTTTAGAGATAATCATGTGAAGTTATACAAAACATTTTTTGATGAAATGAATGAATATTCAAAACAATTAGATCAATTTCAATTTCAGTTTAATGAGGTATTTATACATACTTGTTGATAGATAATAATACACGATCATATGTTAAATAAATGTTGTTGAAATATTAATATCCATTTTATTGAGCAATTATTTTCCTATACAATAGATAAAAATTGACAATTTGAATGTTTTTGTTATTTTTTTTTTTTGTTTTATTTTAGTCTGAGAAACAATCTAAAGAACTCAATACTTATTGTACAAATATGAAAAATGATACAAATAATTTAATTCAACTAATTCAATTTATGAAAGAAAAATTTTTATTAAATAAAACTAAATTAAACAATCGTATTGATCAATATGAAACAAATTTCACACAATTACACATGTTAATTTCTCGAAATAGAATAGATGATCATCAATTGACATTGGAAAATATGATTGATAATATGAAAAATTCTGTTCAACAAGTATGATTGTACAACTTGAGATAGTTAATAAGATATATTGGCAAGGAATGAGCAATAAATAGTCTCAATGCTTATAAATAAGAGCAAAACAGTTTTTAATCAATATATAAAGAATTACGTCTGTATTTCATTTCTGAACTTAGAATTTTACTCAAATTGATACATTAACATTAGAAAATACTCAACTACGCAATGAACTAGATCAATTGAAAACTCAATCAAATACAACGGTTTGTCACAATATTATTTATAAAAAAAAAAAGAAATTATTCAATAACATTTGTTTTTTATTTCTCCTTTTTATAGATGGAATATAATGAACAGATAAAAAACGATTTAAAAGTACAAAATGAATACAATACAAGTTTGTAAGTAATAACATATGACAGTTTGACTATTTTTATTATCAATCATTTTTGTTTTGGTTTTTTATTTAATAGAAAATCAGAAATAACATCATTAACGGACGACATAAAACAAATGGAAACGACAATAGAACAATTAAAAAATGAAAAAAATGAATTAATCCAAAAGATTGATACGGGAGAAAATGGAATAGATACGATTGTTAGACAACTAACAAACGAAAAGGTATTAGAGAAAAGAGTTCTAATGATTAATACGAATAACAACATAATAAACAATATGTCATTTCTAGTAGAAAAAAAGAATTCTTTTTTTTATCAATTTAAGTGAATCATTTATCGTAGTAAAATTGTTTTATTTCTCATTTACATAGGATCAATATGAAAATCAAATGAAAGATTTAAAATTAGTTGTTAAACAGAATACAAGTGATTTCGAAGCAAAAGAACGTCAAAAACAATCATTACTAAATGAAATTGAGACATTAAAACAACAAATAGAAGATATGACAAATGAAAATTCCAATCTTAAACAAAATATTAATCAAAAACAGGAACATTTAAATGATTTTGAAATAAAATTTGAAGAAAAGGTAAGTAGAATTTGTCTCAGAAATGATGAAAGAGAAAATTCCAATGAAGTTTCAAATAGATAAGCCAAATAAGACTTTATATATACAAACTTTTATGAGCTTTATTAATTAATGAAGAAAATCATTTGTTTTCAATTAATTCTTGCCAAGTTAAATTAATATTAATGAAACTTAGAATATTTATGTTAGAGGATTGATCTATGACTTGATCACGTAGTTACTACTTTTTCACATAATTTTTGAAACGTAGTCTCTTGTATTTTTGCCATAGTTTCTAAACAAATAAACATGTAGAGTGTACGAAAGTCTCAAAATATTCAAAAACACACTTTTCTTTTTAATTTGTGACGTTGCAGAGCTCTGAACATGTCTTCATTTGAGAATCATAGAAGAAACAAAATGCTGTGAGAAATGAGCACAGTTGCATGATCAGGTTAACTAAAAGTCTTTTTTAAAAATATGAATTTTAGTTTAAAAATGAAAACTAAGTTCTTAATTTGACATGATTTGAGTTAACTGTACAACTGTACACCATCCGGCTATTGTAAACCATACACTACTGGTAGTATTAATGATAATTCCTGCTGATACTTTTCTCGCAATTCTCAAATAGATGCAGATGTCTACTGATAATTGTCTCGCGAATGTTAAGTTAACTTGGCAAGAATTAATTGAAAACAAATAATTTTCTTCATTAATTAATAAAGCTCATAAAAGTTTGTATATATAAAGTTTTATTTGGCTTATCTATTTGAAACTTCGTTAATCTTATATTGGAAGTTTATCATTTTTTTCGTTCATCCTTTCTCAGAGATATCAGGTACATCTATAAATATACAGACAGTTCAAATCTAAATTATTTGTCTCATAAATTAGTCTAAGAAATCTTGCTAACCCATCCACATCCAATTGTTTGAAGTTTTTCTAATGCTGATCATTGTACTTCAGTGACTTTAGTATCCCATTAAATTCTAGAAGAATTGAACGTCTAAATCGTGTAACTCTATTATCGGAGTGTATTACCGTTTTTACCCTTTTTGTTTATGTTACAATATTTGAAAGGAAGATTGTGTTAACATTGTTTTGTAGCTAAAAGTGTGCTTTTCAAAATCCACTATGTGATCAATTCGGTTCACTCAATCGTGTTTGCGCTACAACTAAAATGTAGTAAACTAAAAATTAAAATCCATTTTTTTCGGAGATTCTGGTATTTTGATTATGGCACAAACACGATTGAGTGAACAGAGTTGGATCACATAGCGGATTTTGAAAAGCACACTTTTAACTACAAAACAATATCAACACAATGTTCCTTTCAAATATTGTAACATAAACAAAAAGAGTAAAAACGGTAATGTACTCACACTCCGGTAGCAAAGTTACGCGATTTAGTCGTGAAGAAGAATAAAAGTTAAGTCTGCGTGTTTATAAGCTTTTAAATAATTCAGTTTGACTAAGATCCTTGTATCTTTTCATTTTTCTTTTTATAAGTACATATAATATTGAAAAGAAGGAACGCAAATTTTAGCCTCTTCTTACTCATCCATTTATGCTTCTTACGTGGTATAGTACTGATGACTTGTATGAGAGTGGATATTCGTAGACTATGCAATAGGCGCTTCTAAGGGGGATGGAAAGTATATTACTTTCTGAAGATAATTATTTGTGTGCTATCTGTTAGGCGTGGAGAATTGTCGGTAATTCGGTACCGGTACTGTTTTCGCGCAGTACCGAAAATTTCGACTTGGTACCCTGTTAGGTATTGAATCATTCGGTACCAGGGAAAGTACCGAAAAGTTCGATATCTACGAAAAAAATTAAGGAACGAGAATCTTCGCGATTTAAGGAGGAAAAAGCTTCTTGTAAGTTCAAAAATAGATTTAGATAATGTAAACAACTTTACTTTCGGTACGGTTCTAATAGTTGGTACCGAACGCTCGGTAAAGGAATCACACAAGTACCGGTACCAACAATTACCTAGTTAAACAATAGAATTGATTACATTACTTTATGTATGACACATATCGAAATTGTCCCAAACTCTCTCTT